CTTAATGGTTTTGAGAGAGCTGTCGAATGGGTTATTCCAGGAGCCCATTCAGCAATCATAACGGTGAAGTGGTACTTTTCTTTCTCTTCTTAGAGTGAACTTTCAGTACACTGTGATCAGTTTATCATCAATATAAGTTAGATTTAGTTAGTGGTCGTGTACTGCTATTTGGTCGGGGAAATGTCCAAGATGTTGATGACAGCAAGGAAGTAGAAAGCCAGACCATTATCCTTTTCAGTAACTGTTTCATGTTTTTTCTTGAGAAGTTATCTTAGGACAGATTTTTAAATGTATAATGATGTTAACGGGGCGCGGTTTTAACGGGTAGAGTAGCCTTCCCGCCTTTCCCTCTCACCGTCTCCATGCTCTTTCTCTCGTCTTTTCCCTTAAGAAATGTGGTAATCTACCCATCCGAAAAAATTTGGTAATCACGTGACCGTACACCGAGCGAGCGACCGTCCGTCCGCACCACAGGCATACCAATGTTAAATAACTCGATCAAAAGGTATGGCAACCCAATTGTAACTCAAGGTTTTATTTGGAAGGAAGTCACATGGCCGCCCGGACTTTTAGAAATAAAAAACAACAACAAAGTCGTGTCTTTTTCGGCGTTATTTTTTTATGTTTACACTAACGTGGATAAAAGAGAAAGAGCAAGAGCGAGTTATTGAAAACAAAGGAGACGAATTTCCTGGGGAGAAAAACATGGAAATTCAAAGCGGCGGTGAGAAAATGAGAAATGCTAGCGGCCAGCAAGGTGAAAATGAGCGGCGGAGAAAAATAAAAGCGAACATGAACACAGGAAACAAAATATTGGGTAAAAGACGATTCCTCCATAAAAATAATGTGTAACTAGGAAGTTTGACGTTTTAGTCGCACAAAACAGCGTTGTTGTCGTGCAAAACAAAGGCAAGGGAAAGACAAAAAAGCGTGCTGCACGTGCAAATTTGCTTTTTGCTAATTAGAAGAAAAGGTGTGCTGCACGTGCAATTTGTGTTTTTGCTAATTAGATCTATTAGTCTATATTGAAGCCATTTTCATTGTCGTCTCCGTTTAACCTTAAACGATTTAATTTTTTTTCTTTATAAGTATTATTAACCAGAGGTTCGCTTTTAGCCCTGGCTAAATCTATATATTATAAGTCATCAATCCTACCCCATCTAACATACTGTGACTTGGTCTGGCACTTTTGTAAGTCATCAGATCGAAGAAAGGTCAAGCGGATACAGGAGAGATCCGTAAGAGCAGTATACAACAACAGCTCATGATCAGCATCTTATCAAGAACTACTTGACCGCGCCCGGTTACCGACACTGTATAATAGACGTTTACAGGATGTATGAGTAAAGCGCGGTCTCGCTCCTATTTACATCTTTAATTATTCAATGCAAAGAACACGCAGTATAACTTAAGGAACAATGATTTCGAACTACCTAAATTCGAAACTGTTCGATATAGTAGACACTCTGTAAAATACTTGGGGCCTCTTATCTGGTCCAAGTTACCACGAAAACTGAGAACTTACAAAAATCGTAATTATTTCAAGAGAAATATTAGGAAAGTCGACTTATGCGGACTAGTAAACTGATACATATACGTCCCCGGTACAGTCGTTATCCGACTGTAGAAAGTTATTGTGTATGTAATAGGTTTTATAATTTTAGTGTTAGGAAGATTTTAAGAATGTATATACTCATTAGGGATACTTATTATGTAAGTAGATAGTCTGTGTCCTCCCAGATACCTTGACACGTGAATATAGTTTTCATTCATTCATTTATTCTAGCCTGAAAACGGACTTGGGTCACGATTATTTCCTTTCCTTTATGGTTCCTGCTGAAAACAATTTAAATACGGTAACTCGTAGAGACAAAATATGCACACGTCCCAGTATCCTAGACTACGAGCAGTCTCTCTTTTTTCTGTGTTCCGTCGAGCAAAACACGAGACACGCAAATGGCCATGCGCGTGACTGATGGCGCGAGACGGGAGAGGCACTCGTTTCGCGCGCCTCGCGGCTTCGCCGCTCCCGCGCGCGTGCATTGCTCTCACTAAATCTGAAGAAAAAGAGAGACTGCTCGCAGTCTACAGTATCCAGACACGCGTCCCATTATCCAAAACCTTTTCCAGAAACCAAATTCTGGGGCTTATTTTTGGATTCTTGGAAGTGGTGTTATATTCTGGGATGCGTTTTGGATCTGAGAAGTGATTTAAAATTTCATAAGTCTTTCAGGGTCATTCCAGGATGACAACGCTTTGTAATAGATATTTTAGAATAGTCATGAGACAGGACACTTCACAGTCTTAAAGGCGATCGTGACCTACAGTTCAAATTGACAGATTGAGGTCAGTAAATATAGATGTGGTCAGCCCTTTTTCACGATTTACGGCTAAATTCCTCTCATTTTCTACACCTCGCATACAATCACTTTTTTTCGGACAATTTCAAGGTTAACTGTTAAACCCATTTAAAGGCTCACATTACTCCCTTCACTTGTACTTAAATCCAAAGTCAAATGAAGAGGCGACACGGCCAACATACTTGACCCCTCTCTTTTCCTTTTTTGCCTCTTGCCGGCTACCAAATGACGTCGGCTTTAGATTTTAACGGGTCAGTCTTACTGGCATTTCATGTCACCCGATGGTTTTTACTCGTTTGGTTGATGTTTTGTAAAATTCAACTGGAAAAACTTCCCCTGAAATCAAACCCGTAGGCTGTTTGCATATTTTCCCGATCATTTGACGAGAGAGGTCCGTGCGCGAATAGGCCATTTCCGAGTTACATAAACTCTCACCTTTAAAACGAGACCAAGTGCAAAACCTTTCTTGCTTTCTCCCGTTTTCCCAATAATCAATCACCAAAAAAAATCGTCTAAAGGGGCGGGAAATGTTTAATAATGGTCAAAACCAATGTGAGCGCTGCACTGGCAAATAACGCAGGCACTGGTTGTGAACTAAACTGAAAATTTAATTACTTCATGAGGCATGCCCAAGTGCAGTGTGAAGAATTTTCACTTCACTCTACAACCAGCTGGGAGTTTATTTCTCATTAAAGCACAAACAAGAGAACCCGATTATTGGACTTTTAACATTTTTTCGTGGAAAAACTGAGTTCTCATCTTTGCAAAAGCAATAAATTCTTAATTAGTAACAACGGAATGTCCTAATAGCGACGAAATTTAATAAAATACAATTACCAGTTTATGAAAAGGTAACTGAGTGGGAGCATTCATTAACCCCAGAAAATCCTGTGTCGGCATAGACCATTAACTCGCTCCAATCAGCCAATGAGCTTGCAGAATTTTTCACAGAGCACGAAGTCTGAATATTAATCTTATTTCACGCTTTAGTTTTGTTTACATTTTCCCCTCCTTTCAAACTGGAGTTCAATACAAGTGTTATTGGAAAGATTTGGAAAGCCGGGGGTAGGACGGGGATTTACGGGCGGAATCATTGCAAGCCGCCGTAGGGAGTTTGTGATGCAAATCCATATATGGAGAGATTGAATAAATTTTACCAATAGACCTAGTCAGCTAACTCAGTGTTATACCCAATTCAAATATCCTGGGATTAAGATTCTTTGTGTATTGTATTTGCATTATAATGTGTCATTCACATTTAAATGATATGGAAATTCCTGAAACAAAACGTTATATTCCCATTGAAGGGTTTGAATTTGGGTACAACGTTGAGTTAGTCGAATAGGTCTATTGTTTTAACCTCTATTTTGTCTCATGTCTTCGATCTTTCTGCCGTTAGGAGCCGTTTACTGTTTCTAATACTATTCAACGTTTACAAAACCAGAGTAAAGGCAATGATTTTCAAAGCAACGTTCACAAGCGCAGTTTAGTTTTAAATTCCGTAAAACAATAGGGAAAGTTCTACGGAATGCCTCCCTGCGTGCGTTTCACCAAATGAATAACTATATATAATGCATGTAAATATATTTAGAATGATTTCCACTATCCGAGCTTTTGTGGTTACTTCTATTCGTTATTTAGTGATGAGACTCAGCTGCGAGCAATTCTAATTTAAAACGACAATGCTCAAGAGAGATCAGTGTTGACGCTGTGATACTCTATGTTCGACACCGACTACCAAGATCTACTGTAATAGATGCGGTGTAGCATATTATTGTTCCAGGAAGTGCAAAGGTAGCGATGAGTTTCGTCATCAAGTAGATTGTCAGACGGCTTGTTTGAAGAGGAAGTGTTCTGGATGTGACCAGGAGAAGACTGCATTGAAATCGTGTAGCGGTTGTCGTAAAGCGTGGTACTGTGATAAGGAATGTTAGAAGAAATCTTGGCCGACGCACAAGCTTTCCTGCAAACAGGTTATAGCAAAGATCTCTGAATTGTCTAAGAAGTTGGAAACTTTAAGTAACACTAGGTTTCCTGGGTTAGGATGTGTGTATTACTGGGGAAACACCCCGGCTACAGACGTCATCAATCTTCCCTTGAACGAAGGCTGTTGCTATTCCAAACCTTTGACGGTTCTTGCCTGCGGAGTTGGCGATCCATTGCTGTCGTTGTGTAACCTTCCGGAAACTTACGAAGAGGAGTTGACCTTCGTTTTAAACGACATTTGTGCCTGTACTCACGCTAGGACTGTTCTAATACTGTATATCCTTTTTAAGGGTAAGTGTTGTCCTTCAAGATATCTCTGTTAGTAACTGCATGCTAAATTGCTATGCCCGGTTTCTTTTAATCTGTTTAGTACATTTGCGTTGAATTCTTAGCGTTACGCGGCATGCAATTCGGTTGCGTCAAAGACTGGGTTTCTTACCCTAAACTACAGCTATCACATAACCAAAGTGAATTAAAGATCTTGATTTCATTGATTTACTGAACTGATTTATGACGGCCAATCTATTTGGTTCTATTTCACTTTGATTTTGCATTTTTGCTTACTTCACAGGAGGAGAAGACGTGGCAAGTTCAGTGACACAGATTTGGTATTCCTTGTGGCTCAACGATAAGGACTTTTGCCTTGCGATCTCCATGTTGCAAGAACTCATCGAGGCATCAAATCTTGACGAACTGACAAAAGGAACAATGCAGATGAACCGGGAGCAGTTTCAAAAACTCCTTGAGGTGTGGCGCACCTGGCTTGATCTCAGTTCACGCCAAGGAGACTGGATAACAGAGGCTCGGAACAGGGGATTTACGAACTTTGACGACAGAGAGGGAATGGAACTTTATGTAGAAGAACTTCCTAAGGAACATAAAGCATCGGCATCTGATTGGTTTGCCAACGGGATTCTTCTGCCTGAAAAATCACGAAAGAAGCTTTATCGAGAAAATTTTACCCTCACGGGTTCCGACCTCCAAGTAAACCACAACAAGGGCGCTTTCTCTTACAAAATTCAGTCATCCATACTTCCATTTGCAGGCTGGGACTACAATGAAGTACGCCAGTGGAGTCACTCACCGTCACTGTTGAAAATGTATAGCGAGTATGTGAATCACGTGCTTAAACAATCGGCTTTAAAGCTTGTCACCGGGCGAGTCAAGTTTCACTTTCTGCTGTGTAACTGCATGGAGATTGCAAGGTTTGTTCCCCCAGACCACAAGTATGACCGTGTCACAGCCCCCAACATTGCAGATTATGTTCCCCTGCCCAGCATCCTGGATACCTACAAGCCACTCTTAAACTTATGTAATCCCTTCTCGGTCATTATTACAGAGTTTTTAAATTGGCCAAGGTACGTAAATGTTAAGGAGGAGTTGATGGTACGTGCCTTTTTCATGCCGAAAGATGACAGCTTTCGCCAAAAATTTTTTGAAAATACCAAAAATTCCGCCATTGCATATTCAGAATCTTATCAGTCTTTTGTAGAGTATCATGACCACAGTGACCAGTTCATCCAATTCCTCCGTGCGGCCTTGCTGATCTCTAAGTTCCCTCATGAAGGTACTTGCAGGCGCATATGGAAGTCAGTGGCTGACTACAACGGGCTGGTTGCACGTGATTTCCTTCGATGCCAAAATCGAGTCTTTCCCGCCAAGTGGTTGTTGAACTGCCGCCGAGTTTATCAATCATAAATTTAAAACAGTACTTATTTTACCTGTGCTGTTTTACGAATGACATTTCAAATAATTTGAGGGAAGACTACTCTTTGCAGGAAATTTGTGAACCCAAGCCCAAACCATAAATAATTTTGATCAATCACAAATTAAATAACAAGACAATTCAGTGATCCAAACAGATTGAAGCTGAAAATAATGTTTGGCACCACCGGTTCCATGGGAACACTAACCCCCCACGCAGACGTTCTTAGGGTTAATCTTTCGAGACCCTTCTAATCGGTTCTGGAGCTGAGTCTCGCGGGAAATTTTTCAAGGTCCAAAGTACACCACCCAGATCTGGAAGTGTGCTGTGATTGGTCTAGGTTTTTTGCTGCTCGAGTCAACAGACGTTAGTGGGACAGGAACGCTTGACGAACCGCTAAAAACGTCTACGCGGGAGGCTATGGCGACACTGCAGGCAGACACTTCAAGTCCTAAATAGTTTTTTTTGGCTCACTGCTTTGTGATGAAGATTGTGTGTGAAAAGTTGCTTAGCGTAACATTAACATTAGAAAAACTATTCAAAATACTCGGCCCTTAAGATAAACGATGTTGACAGACACATTCCTACTTGTGAGGACACAGTAATTCTTCGTAAGACTTCCACTAATAATTTCGACAATTATGATCGATTTTTCTTGTTAAGAACACTTGCCCGTGAAAATCAGCAAAAATCTGCACTTGTCTAAAGATCGGTTCACACCGGCGTCGTATGATCGAATTCAATGGATTAAATTCATGAGAAGTACGGATACAACGTCTGAAACAATACGAAGCAGCTAAATGAGTCTGGATCGGCTCAGCCGTTCTTTACACTTACCTCTGCCAGGAATAACGGCTGTGGACCGGCGTTGATTCAGACGACGAAGTTCATATGAGCTGAACTAAATGTACAATTTTCCGTGGAATATGGTTTTACGCATTTTGATTTGTCGCCATTGAATTTAGGCCACGTCCACACGAATCCAGATATTTATGAAACCGCGCAAATCAGCCCAGTTTCCTCCACGCTAAAACAGTGAATCCGCTCACCGAAACCTCATTTGTTCAAAACACTCTCCAGCGTAGTTAAAGACCTCATCCACACGAATATCCGATTAAAGAATATGTGGTTTCAAAAAATCTTCGGATTCTTGTAGACAGCTTCGCCGCTCGTGGCTTCGGCCTTCGGCCAACACCGAAAATTCCCGCTGCACGCGAGAAAAACCTCTGGTACGCAGGGTAGGGCCATAGTATAGCTGGGGTAAAGATCGGCCTCTGAATCAATTCAGCCTTTCTAAACCGTTGGGTCGGCCTTCGAATTTAATTCGGCTCTTGTGAAGAAAGTTAATGTATCACCTTGGCTGTGAACTAAATAAAAGAGTTATTTCCAGAGGAGTTCCCTGGGTTGAGCAACATTCTAATATTTTTGATAAGCTAAGAGCTTCCTGTTCTATTGCCTACCCAGCATAAAGATAAATAGATAGAGTGATCCTAAAGGAAAAGATAAGCATGATATCTAACTATATTTGGATTTTTTTCTTGTTGAAAAAAGAAGCGATTCTTGGCTTTTAGAGAAAGCAAATACCATGAATTTTTTGCGTTTAATGCGGTGCGCTTATGCTTTACTTTCACGGAGGCGTCGTTGATTGGGTTTGTCTTTCAAAAATTAAGGATATCATGACTGGATAGCAGCCTGATTATCAGGCCGTCCTAAGGGGTCAGGGGAAGGCAAGTTTTAGAGGGATGGGCGGAGGGGAAATGTATTTCTTTCAGTTGTTCATTACATTGTTTAGTTCAGTTTTATAAACCACTCCTTGTTAATTTCACACCACTTGACGCCGACCAGTTTACTCGCAGCTGCTTTTTTCTTTTTCTTATGTATGAGGTTTATAGGTATTAATACCTACGGTTAATTTGTACTTGTACTTTTGCATCGCTTTTTTTAAAATGGTATGACACCGTTTACTTTGTTAATGTTTTGCTCCATCAGCATACCTTGTTAGCGCTTATGATGTATCTTAAATCTAGCTTTTCTTAGTGCTCTGTATCTGTATTTTTCCCAGATTTCTCTGATATTCTCAGTGATGCTTTTGCTATAACTATCATTGGTATATGCTTTGGTGGATCCGGACCTTCAGTTAAGGGAGGCCCGGTCATTCAGACCCTGAGATAAGTGGGGTGGAACCCGGTCTAAAAAAAATTGGACCTTCGGGCCTCAGTTTGGTCTAAAAATACATGCAAGGGGAGGGGGTGGAGGGGCGGGCCTTTTCGTGTATCCGCCACTGATAAGAAACTCGACTGCTGGCGGCTCCCTCTATTTATCATTGTGTTATTTTGTCTCTTCATACTTATAATAGAAACATTTGCTATTCGGGTGAGCGTAGCGATAGAGAATACAAAGTGAGTTGTCACCGCTCTTCGCTTCCCTCTTCACCCTCAATCCACCAGAAACGCCTTTTACCAAAAGTCATTTTTTATCTTTCGCATTTAATTTATTACTCAGGAATGACGATTGGTTTACTTACAAAACTTGCGCGACAAGTTGAAAACAATTCGAAAAGATAATCTTTTGGTTTGTTGATCAAAGTTAATGCCATAAAACCCAGCTCTACTTACGAGGGATAAACCACGATTTATGGGTCAGGAAGGCTAGAAGCTTACGTTGCCACTTTTCCGCCGCATGTGTATCTCCCCCTTTTTCCGTGTTTCTCTGTCGTAATCTCATAATACGACTTTAGGATGGTTAGCAAATAAAGAGAGCAATTGTTTACTAAGAAATACGTCTAACAGTGACATGGATGTTTAGTCTTAGCCACAAATATTTCTTTGAATGGTCTAAAAATCTTTCCAGATTTCTCCAAATTTCTTCAAACTCTTCGGTTTCACCAAATTCTCTAAAAAATCCCTTCACATATCTAAAAATCCGGAAGTTTCCTAACTATCCCGTAAAACTCTTTTAATCTACACTAGAAGCCTATGCAGGTTTGGAATTCCAAAAACGGTTCCGGCGTTAAGTAAGCTTGTCTATGAAGTCAGGACGTAACATAAGAGCGAATAACTCACTATATTTTAACTTATTTATTGAGTGATTAACAACGCTTGATCGGAAAGTTATTCATGAACCAAAAATTAATTAAAATGCTAGTAGCATAGTATGTCTCCCCGATTAGTTTCAGCACTTGTGCTTAGCTAGAAGTTTGAGACGTAAATAAAGTTATCATCATCACTATCACTATAGCCCATTCAAAGCAAAAAAGGAAAAAGTATGGTGTTTGGCAAATAATATTCGTAAGAATAAAGAAATTCTGTATGTTTAAATTCAAATAAAACCCAAATAGATTACAAACCTTATATTTTCAAAAGTCGTGATAAATGAACGAATAATAAACAAATTCCAAACAACTCAAATTACTCAAAAGTATCATCACAATGCTGCCTAATATCTTATTTCCATGCTAGGAAATTTTGGTGTATTTCCTATTTTGCGATCTTGGAAACTAGCTTTTTTTATAAACACTTTTATAAGTGCAACTCTTTGCAAAATTTTGAACGCTTTTTCATATATCACAGGAACGGCTCGATAGTTTAGGCCACTTCCGAGTTCCAAAACCCCTCACTTTCAAAATGAGGCCAAGTGCACAACCTTTCTTGTGAAAATGAGTTTTATTCGCATGAGAATGACAAATCATTTTCATATCAGAGGCTCAGGGGAACTCGAAAATGACCTTTTCTATAATAAACTCATAACGTAATCTTCATATACGATGTGCATAATGATGTGTCCAACTTTCATTAACATTGGTTCACTGCAACACCCTCAAATTCCAAGCCGAACCTAGCCTACAAACAATTCTCTGCGTTCCGATTAGCACTGTTCTGACTTTATGTTAATTTTTCAAAGTAGTGCGCATTACATACTACCATGATCGATACATTTCAGAGTGATTTTTTAATGCATCGCTTGAATTGGGTTTTTTTTACGTAAGCGCACTCGTTCGTATTCGAGCATTTACCTTCTGGTTCCTTCCGCACCTTATTTAATTGCTGTTTTCAACATTTATTGCATACCTATAGTCATGGCTCTCCCAAGCAAAGATTTCAGCTAGTATTCCTTGTCCGTTCATAGACTTTTTTACTGCAGGAATTTTGAAAAACTCTTAAGTGAAAAATGTAGCTTTATAATACGAGTCAAATAACGACACTGATATATATCAATCGCGAGGATAGTCAAGCGCAAGTGGCACGCCAGAGCAAGGTACGAAGAAAGAAGAGGAGAGCTCTTCTTTTCCTCTGCGTCGCTCAATCGTGCTTTCGCTTGCCATTCGAAATGGACATTATGCCAGTCCATAACATTTCTTAGGGCCTGTTTACATGGAGGTGGGGGACCCCAGGTAGGTAAGGTAACCCACATAGGTGGGGTAAAAATATAACCCTCCTTTACATACAATCTTACAACCCCGCCATCCGGGGGTGCACTTTCTCAAGATTATTGAATGGTCGCTAGGCACGTGAACAGGAAAAATGGTGGCAAACCACGTGTTTTGGCGATTAATGTTCTTCTACACTCACGTGCTGCTCTTGCTGCAACCTTTAGTGCTGTGGCTTTCTATTGTTACCTTTGATAATGATGGAAAGCCACTGCCAAAGTGAATTTTGTGCAAATATGATGTGTCACAAATCCGACCCCGACTAGGCGGGTTACCCCACATATCATGTAATTTCTCAATACGCCTAGAGCATCCAAACTCTGGACGGACGCGTGCGTAATTTAGGGGATTTACTACGAGGATGACGCTATTTCGGTTGAAAACGTTAAAGAGATTGTCAAAAAGGAATTGGAAGGCCCAGAAAGGAGTAGCCTGCGAATACAGCTGTTTCTCCTTGCTCCTCGCCGCTGGGGACGTGGCGAAAGGTCCTTAGAGGTGAGAAGCAAGGAGAAACGGCTGTATTCGCAGGCTAAGGAAGGAGACATGCACAAGAAAATCAGACAGAAATATGACTTTTTTGTTAGGCGAGATCAAGTGTGATGTGTGATGTCTGATCTTGACCTTTGGCGAAGAACTTGCCGTTTGCGGAGACGTTGTAGCCAAGAAGGTCAGACAAAGGAAAGGAACTTTCTCTTCGAAGGGTCCAAACTGGGTCCATTCCCTAGACGGACTTGATAAGTTAATGAGCTATCAAAATTTGACATTTCAGGCGCTTTCCATTCAACAAAAATTCGGTAAGTGCCCAATGGAACGTTACATTCCGTTTGCAAAGACCCGACCCAAGCCACCGCGCGTCTGGTTATTGTCCTTGTAAGGAGGATACAAAAGAGCGGTACTAGGGAGAACAATGTTGTCAAAATGAAAGGGGAAATTCGGTCTGACCGACCGAAATGACCGCAACCGTCTAAGTGGACCACCTTCAAAGGTGTTCCCAAATATTCCAGTCGGACCGAACCGAACTGGTCCGTTCCATTTCTAAACGAAATTTCCGGAATTTTGGGCTGAATGGAAAGCGCCCTTCCATTTCTATGGCGGCTGCTTGGATACAGCCAGTAAATTGCTGCTGTGATTGCGAGCGTCGATGGTTTTAAGGAGGATCTTTCCTGGTCCTATTTGCCCTTTAACTTTTCTCACTCGCCTGCCATGATGATTACACGTATATGTCATAGTTCAGCAATGCATGCTGGTAGTGGCAGCGCTCTGCTGGGTCGAAAATTAATTTTGATTTGATTTGATTTTGTTTTGATTTCATTTCAATTTCCTTTGGTCCCATTTCGTGTTTATTTGGGTTTCACTTGATTATACCTTCATTTGTCTTTTAATTCAAAATTAAAAAGAAAATATTTACAAGTACAAAAGGAAAAATAATCAGAGATAAACTTTAAAAATAAACCTCCAAAATTCTGATTTTTCGATTGGCAGTTCTCGGTCACCACAGAGATCTTTCGAAGTCGGTGCCATATTTTCACTTAGATCTAGAGCTGTTTCAGAAAGCTAATACCCTGCAAATAAGGACTTTTTATCGTTTTTTTGTGAGACCTGAACCACCTCAATTAACATAACAAACAGTCGGTGAGTTTTCCTGTAAAAAAATTGTTTTTTGGACGTTGACTTCGTCGTTGAATTAATTGTAGATTTATTGTCTCCCTTCGCTCAGAAAATTTAACCATAGTTAGAGTAGACTGGTTATGAAATCCGGTAAACATGAAAGTTGAAAACAACGTTGCTATAATTTATGTTGGAATCTCCCTCACCGTGCACAATCCTTTGCTTTTTGTTCAGAAATTGTGACGGAATAAATTATAGCGATGCTTCTCAAATGATAGGAATGCTATTGAACGTTGTGCACGGTAAAATCCAAAACACGAACAGTGGAATAGAAGGTGAAATAAAATACGTGCAGATGTTAATTTGGGTTCTCGATATTATCTTTGGAACATGTGCCTTCCGCTTAGCAAACCACAGGTCACCTATCCAAGTGTCCTCCTTACCCCCACCCTCACCCTCTGCAGACAACAAGCTATTTCCAGTCTAGAATAACAACAACAAGCTTTATTTGCATGACTGTAACAATGTAATACAGTATTGCAAAAGCTACTTAAATTTAATTCTTAATTATTTAATTAATTAAAATAACTTTGAAATAGGAAAAGAGAAAAAATTCAATTATCACTTATTTTTAACCATTCTTAAGAGTAGTTATTTTGGAACATAGTTTGTCTCCCAGTTCCAAGCAAGATGAGATGAATGAAATTTTATTGATTGAAATAATCAGTAGAATGGCCCTTATGCATGTTAACGTCAGACTAGCAATTTTCACCACCAAACCTCTTTTGTGAACAAAATTCTGCTCATACGTACTGTTTTGAAATTCATATATGGAAGACTTCTTAACGTTCATTGTCGGCAAAACGTGGCTTGATGCTTAACATAACATAAAATAACATAAACTTTATTTATACTCGAATTTTAGAGTAGCTAACAAGCTAATATCTTCGAGCTGACCGCTTAAAATTATTCGTCTAGGGTAAACATGCATAAGGGCAGTTCATTAGATTTGATTACAAGGTCTCATTTGATAGTAGTCGTAGAAGTGGGATTTTAGGATCCGTTTTAGAAATTGAAGATCATGTTTTTTGTAGACGAGTAACTTAAACAATTTAATAACAAATGAGTTTCATCTTTAATTCTGATACAGTTGCAGTGACTATATAAATTTTTGTCACGAAGTATATTGTCGTATCTACCTCTTTAAACTCTTAAAGTTAGTGACTGCTAAATGTCATCACGTGTCCAATACTCGCCACTTGTTCAAGTAGTGATTCCGATTGCTACAACTGCTACAACTTGTACGAGTGGTACAAATCGCGATAGTGAGTAAAGCCTTCAATGCATTTGTGCGATTCATACAAGTGGTGAATAGGATAAATTTCACTGAAATAATATAAGGTGTTACTAAACGTTAAACTCTATCTCATTAGCGACACTTAGAATAAAAGGATGCAGAGAGGGAGCTGTTGTTTTCAAATCGGTTACGACTCGCACCAGTCGTGCAACTGCCGCAACTACATCTCATCAGGGACACATGCAAGCATGTGTATTGTAAGACACAACTGTCCTGTTTAATATTTACAAGTGAATATTCTTCGAGCAACAGCTAATAAATTTTTTCTCCGAACAAGAAAAAACTGTAAAGAATTAGTTTTAACCCCGGCATCAGGAGACGGTTTAAAAGTTAGTAAAAATCACTGTAACAAATAATCTCAAATGAACCTTGAGTTGAAAAGTTATTATAACTGACAACTGTATGTGCCTTATCTTATTGTATTTAGGTATCAGAGACTCGGTTTAAATCTATATATGTATGACATCTTCACTGTTGTAATGAAAAAATCGGCATTATGTTTATTATTTCATTAACAAAAACGCAAAGTTAATCATGTATTTTTAAGGACAAACACGAGGGAGTTGGGGAAAAGGACCATCGTTCTGTTCTTCAACTTCTACTGTTCTTTTGATAACCTTAACTTCTGAATATCCAACGTGACGTTGTCTCCGATAAGCATAAATGGCGCCCACTGCGAAATCTTGGAGAAACCGTTTTCTCTCATCCACTTCATGGCCTGTTGAAGGGATTCACTGGCGCTTTTCCCACGAACAAGGTTCTCGTAGAAACGACTCATGAAATATTTTGTTGCTTTGTCTTCTATGGCCCACAGTGCCACCAACGCTGAGCGTGCACCAGACCCTAAAAACGCGCGAGCAATTCCAACAACTCCCTCTGCACTGATTTGTCCTTTTGCACTGTGACAGCAGCTAAGGACCACCAGTTTGGCTCGCAGTTTAACTTTCGAAATGTCCTCCATAGTCAATAAGTAGTCTTCTTCTTGAGGTGTCCTATCAGTGAGGGGTGGAGGGGCAAGAACAATTTCACCTCTTTCGGCATCACCGTGACAAGCAAAATGTATCAGAGACACAGAATGAATGTTTTGAAGGACCGCCTGCTTTGTGGCTTGTTTTCCTAGCAGAGGTTGAGTACCAAACAGTTTTCCAATCATCTCTGCTTCTTTATTTGCAAAAGGCAGCCTCGATACCGGCTGAAGAATTCCATTGTACGACACTTCACCAACGTGAGGGTCCCCCACTATCAGCACACCACTCTGACTGTGATAGTCTGCTGGACTGTCCTGAATAAGCTTTAGAGTTGTCAAAGAGGGAACGATGCGGATCCTGAAAGTCTCTGATAAACACTTTCCATCTTTGTCTTCTAGGGCTGCAAATGGAACTTTGTAAAGGTGGCGATCAGGAACAATGATGATTTCAGGCTCATCAAGAGAGTCGGCTACAGGAGCAATGATCATTTTGTAGAGACAAGCAGGAGTACGCTCGGGTGGCTGGTTCTCAACTTCATCTTCTTCTCCAGTTAGGCGTTCACACCCCTGCTCCCTGTAAACGTTTGAGGGAAGCCAGGATCGATCCTCGCACTGTTCAGGAGCTAAGCAAAGACCCTCTCTGTAAATTCCGCGACAAAGTAAGTCAGCCACTCTGATTACTGATCCAAAAACATCACTTACTTTTATTTGCTGGAAAATTAAAGGTTTGTCTGCTTTAACAACCCAAAAATTTATTGATTGTCCGTGGTATGATATGTAAAGACAAGCACAATTGCATTCTTTCTTGACGATACTTTCAATATAATCCCATGTTTGTGGACTGACTGGTATTTCGTTTTCTACAGAGTACCGAGCTGCCATTAAGTCTTTAAGGGCCCTCGCTCGTCTAAATTCTTCTGTGTAAAGAGCTTCATAAGGAAAGTCAGCATCACAAAGAAATTGGCTGAGTATTCGGTAATTACTAAACATTCGATCAAAATACGATATCTTGAATTTATCATGTACTTGCAGACGTCGAATAGCTTCTGCCTTATTAAAACTGACAAAGGCGTTTGATTTACTTTCAGATATGTTGCCTTCTTTTAACATAAGAATTGAAAGAAGTAAGTGACAAATTGACTCGTGTTCGCTATTCCCATACTTTCTTTCCAATACAAAGGCTTTTTCGAGGCATTCTTTAGCCTTGGCATATTCACCGAGAGAGAAAAAGATAAATACCAAGTTTCCATAGCAATGGGCTTCTGTTTCTCCATCGCCAATTTTCTCTGCGATTGCAATTCCTTTTTCGAAATGTTCTTTAGCCTTGACATATTCACCAAAAGAAATACAGATACTTCCCAGGTTTCCATAGCTTCCGGCTTCTGTTTTCCTGTCGCCAATTTTCTCTGCGATTGCAATTGCTTTTTCGCAATGCTCTTTAGCCTTGACATATTCACCAAGAGAATGAAAGACACATCCTAGGTTTTGATAGCTTGTGGCTTCTGTTTTCCTGTCGCCAATCTTCTCTGCGATTGCAAGTGCTTTTTCGCAATGTTCTTTAGCCTTGACATATTCACCAAGAGAACAAAAGATAAATGCTAGGTTTCCATAGCTTCTTGCTTCTATTTCCCTGTCGCCAATTTTCTCTGCGATTGCAAGTGCTTTTTCGCAATGCTCTTTAGCCTTGACATATTCACCAAGAGAATGAAAGAAACATCCTAGGTTTCGATAGCTTGTGGCTTCTGTTTTCCTGTCGCCAATCTTCTCTGCGATTGCAAGTGCTTTTTCGCAATGTTCTTTAGCCTTAACATATTCACCAAGAGAATGAAAGATACCTCCTAGGTTTGCATAGCTTGTTGCTTCTATTTTGCTGTCGCCAATTTTCTCCGCGATTGCTAGTGCTTTTTCACAATGTTCTTTAGCCTTGACATATTCACCAAGAGAATGAAAGACATATCCTAGGTTTCGATAGCTTGTGGCTTCTATTTCCCTGTCGCCAATTTTTTCTGCGATTGCAAGTGCCTTTTCGCAATGTTCTTTAGCCTTGACATGTTCACCAAGAGAATGAAAGATATTTCCTAGATTTCCATAGCTCCTGGCTTCTATTTTCCTGTCGCCAATTGTCTCTGCGATTGCAATTGCTTTTTCGCAATGTTCTTTAGCCTTGACATATTCACCAAGAGAATGAAAGACATATCCTAGGTTTCGATAGCTTGTGGCTTCTATTTCCCTGTCGCCAATTTTTTCTGCGATTGCAAGTGCCTTTTCGCAATGTTCTTTAGCCTTGACATGTTCACCAAGAGAATGAAAGATATTTCCTAGATTTCCATAGCTCCTGGCTTCTATTTTCCTGTCGCCAATTGTCTCTGCGATTGCAATTGCTTTTTCGCAATGTTCTTTAGCCTTGACATATTCACCAAGAGAATGAAAGACATATCCTAGGTTTCGATAGCTTGTGGCTTCTATTTCCCTGTCGCCAATTTTTTCTGCGATTGCAAGTGCCTTTTCGCAATGTTCTTTAGCCTTGACATGTTCACCAAGAGAATGAAAGATATTTCCTAGATTTCCATAGCTCCTGGCTTCTATTTTCCTGTCGCCAATTGTCTCTGCGATTGCAATTGCTTTTTCGCAATGTTCTTTAGCCTTGACATATTCACCAAGAGAATGAAAGACATATCCTAGGTTTCGATAGCTTGTGGCTTCTATTTCCCTGTCGCCAATTTTTTCTGCGATTGCAAGTGCCTTTTCGCAATGTTCTTTAGCCTTGACATGTTCACCAAGAGAATGAAAGATATTTCCTAGATTTCCATAGCTCCTGGCTTCTATTTTCCTGTCGCCAATTGTCTCTGCGATTGCAATTGCTTTTTCGCAATGTTCTTTAGCCTTGACATATTCACCAAGAGAATGAAAGACATATCCTAGGTTTCGATAGCTTGTGGCTTCTATTTCCCTGTCGCCAATTTTTTCTGCGATTGCAAGTGCCTTTTCGCAATGTTCTTTAGCCTTGACATGTTCACCAAGAGAATGAAAGATATTTCCTAGATTTCCATAGCTCCTGGCTTCTATTTTCCTGTCGCCAATTGTCTCTGCGATTGCAATTGCTTTTTCGCAATGTTCTTTAGCCTTGACATATTCACCAAGAGAATGAAAGACATATCCTAGGTTTCGATAGCTTGTGGCTTCTATTTCCCTGTCGCCAATTTTTTCTGCGATTGCAAGTGCCTTTTCGCAATGTTCTTTAGCCTTGACATGTTCACCAAGAGAATGAAAGATATTTCCTAGATTTCCATAGCTCCTGGCTTCTATTTTCCTGTCGCCAATTGTCTCTGCGATTGCAATTGCTTTTTCGCAATGTTCTTTAGCCTTGACATATTCACCAAGAGAATGAAAGACATATCCTAGGTTTCGATAGCTTGTGGCTTCTATTTCCCTGTCGCCAATTTTTTCTGCGATTGCAAGTGCCTTTTCGCAATGTTCTTTAGCCTTGACATGTTCACCAAGAGAATGAAAGATATTTCCTAGATTTCCATAGCTCCTGGCTTCTATTTTCCTGTCGCCAATTGTCTCTGCGATTGCAATTGCTTTTTCGCAATGTTCTTTAGCCTTGACATATTCACCAAGAGAATGAAAGACATATCCTAGGTTTCGATAGCTTGTGGCTTCTATTTCCCTGTCGCCAATTTTTTCTGCGATTGCAAGTGCCTTTTCGCAATGTTCTTTAGCCTTGACATGTTCACCAAGAGAATGAAAGATATTTCCTAGATTTCCATAGCTCCTGGCTTCTATTTTCCTGTCGCCAATTGTCTCTGCGATTGCAATTGCTTTTTCGCAATGTTCTTTAGCCTTGACATATTCACCAAGAGAATGAAAGACATATCCTAGGTTTCGATAGCTTGTGGCTTCTATTTCCCTGTCGCCAATTTTTTCTGCGATTGCAAGTGCCTTTTCGCAATGTTCTTTAGCCTTGACATGTTCACCAAGAGAATGAAAGATATTTCCTAGATTTCCATAGCTCCTGGCTTCTATTTTCCTGTCGCCAATTGTCTCTGCGATTGCAATTGCTTTTTCGCAATGTTCTTTAGCCTTGACATATTCACCAAGAGAATGAAAGACATATCCTAGGTTTCGATAGCTTGTGGCTTCTATTTCCCTGTCGCCAATTTTTTCTGCGATTGCAAGTGCCTTTTCGCAATGTTCTTTAGCCTTGACATGTTCACCAAGAGAATGAAAGATATTTCCTAGATTTCCATAGCTCCTGGCTTCTATTTTCCTGTCGCCAATTGTCTCTGCGATTGCAATTGCTTTTTCGCAATGTTCTTTAGCCTTGACATATTCACCAAGAGAATGAAAGACATATCCTAGGTTTCGATAGCTTGTGGCTTCTATTTCCCTGTCGCCAATTTTTTCTGCGATTGCAAGTGCCTTTTCGCAATGTTCTTTAGCCTTGACATGTTCACCAAGAGAATGAAAGATATTTCCTAGATTTCCATAGCTCCTGGCTTCTATTTTCCTGTCGCCAATTGTCTCTGCGATTGCAATTGCTTTTTCGCAATGTTCTTTAGCCTTGACATATTCACCAAGAGAATGAAAGACATATCCTAGGTTTCGATAGCTTGTGGCTTCTATTTCCCTGTCGCCAATTTTTTCTGCGATTGCAAGTGCCTTTTCGCAATGTTCTTTAGCCTTGACATGTTCACCAAGAGAATGAAAGATATTTCCTAGATTTCCATAGCTTGTGGATTCTATTTTCCTGTCGCCAATTGTCTCTGCGATGGCAATTGCTTTTTCGCAATGTTCTTTTGCCTTGACATATTCACCAAGAGAATGAAAGAAATATCCTAGGTTTCGATAGCTTATGGCTTCTATTTCCCTGTCGCCAATTTTCTCTGCGATTGCTATTGCTTTTTCGCAATGTTCTTTAGCCTTGACATATTCACCAAGAGAATTAAAGATACCTCCTAGGTTTGCATAGCTTGTTGCTTCTATTTTCCTGTCGCCAATTGTCTCTGCGATTGCAAGTGCTTTTTCGCAATGTTCTTTAGCCTTGACATATTCACCAAGAGAACAAAAGATAAATGCTAGGTTTGCATAGCTTGTGGCTTCTATTTTCCTGTCGCCAATTTTCTCTGCGATTGCTATTGCTTTTTCGTAATGTTCTTTAGCCTTGACATATTCACCAAGAGAATTAAAGATGTGTCTTAGGTCTCGATAGGTTGTTGCTTCTATTTTGCTGTCGCCAATTTTCTCTGCGATTGCAATCGATTTTTCGAAATGTTCCTTAGCCTTGACATATTCACTAAGAGAATGAAAGATATCTCCTAGGTTTCCATAGCTTATGGCTTCTACTTTCCTGTTGCCAATTTTATCTGCGATGTTTAGTGCTTTTAAGTAAAGGCCTTCTGCTTCACTGTATTTACGCTGACTTTTGTATAATGCTGCCAGTCTACAGGTTGTGCTTAGTTCCAATTTTCTCGCGAAAACTTGTCGAAAAGTGAAGAGACGTTTTGTGCCGCTTTTTATTGGGTGACTGTGAACATGCTCAAAACGTTTGACACACGTTTGGTCTATATTTCCTAGTGTCTTATGCTCGAGAAGAAACAAAACCTCTTTATATATCTCGATAGCGTTTGGAACCCGATTTGTGTTGCGAAGATATTGGGAAACTAGGAACAAACTTGTCAGCAGAACTTCGTCTTTGTTGTGCATATCAACTTTCCTAAGAGAATAAAGGCGAAAAACAACATAACGAGGAGGAGATTTAGTTATAAAATCCACCAATCGTTCTTGAGAATAATAATAAACAACTGCACATACACCGTATTCACAAATGGCGGACACGCGGGAAAAAACTGGTGCCTAGTCATGAAAGCGAGGCGTTGGAGGATAAACAAAAATTGCAAATGAAGACTTTCAGTGAACTTGCAGAGTGTTTAGCACGGATTCCACATAAAATAACTTTGTACGGACTTCTTTTTAAATACAATTACGTGGGATGTATTCTGCTTTTGATGTTTTGTAGTGATTTGCTGTTTGCAATCAAAAGGGAAGCGTATATCTTCAAGGACACACAATGATTTTGTAGGTTTCCCAAGCATCAAAAACTCGACAAGTGGACGATGGCTGGAGAAAAGCGGCAAACATGTTGGCCCAAACTTCACACTGTCCGCCATTTGTGAATACGGTGTATGGTACATTATAGATGGTTTTCACATGACGTCACGGCGGCCATATTTGTGTACAAAAAAAATCCTGTGGGAATTGAACTCTTTTCACATGTTAAAACTTTCTTTTATTCCAAGCAATTTGCAAAGCTGCTAAGCACGTGACTGAAAACGATCTATTTGTAAGGAATAATAGTTCAAGAGTATGTTTTTTTTTCTCAAAAGAATTACAATCTTCTGTTAATTGTTTTGAATATGTTACCATGTTTGCTAGTGACAACAGAACACTAAATGCTCTAGTCTTAGAGTTCTGTAATCAACCATTCGTTCTATACAGCTAGCACACCATAAGACTGGGCCCCATCTTTTTCAATTTATGCTTTATGGTGTATATGGCAGGCCATGAAGTTCCCAAAATCTCACGCCCCATACTATTACAGGTAGTAGTTATTCCACGGACGGTGAGGGTGATGCTGTGTGGTGTCACTGATGTTGTAGAAGCAACAAAAACAAATGCCAGAGATTTTTTCGATCAATCTTAACTTCCAGAAATATCATAAATTTCTTTCTTTTTCCTTTCTCGGTTCTCCTGCTAATTATTCGTAAAAATTTAAAGTATTCGCAAAGCACAAAATAAACTGATTAATAAATTCTTGAGCTTTTTGCCTTCTTTGATCCGACAGACCTCGAAAGGTTTATGATTAATAAACAAACTTTCTCAGGCCAGGAACAAAGGGCTTCAGACAGTCAGACAGTATCGAATGACAGGTTTGCTTAGAAAAACTGGTTTGAAAATTTAGGTGCTCTGATATACCTTGTCATCGAACTCTTCAGTAGATGTCGTGATATGATATCGCCTTAAATAAATTTCTGTAGGGATTTTATGTCAGAAATTCTCCAGGTATCATATAGTGCTATTATCCTCACTCTGTACACGTTACCTTGGTAGTCGTGGATTTACTTTCATAACTTAGGATACCGTGATGCGGTGGCAGGTAGCAATCACGACAAACAAGAACGCAAAAAGTGTTAAGCCTCGCTTGCTTGGAGATTAGATAAGAAATGAGGAGGCGATTAATTCTACAGGAAACAGGATTTTCTCGCTAAAAGTCTTTCACCTCCTACTTTATCGATGGTCGAGTATTCTTGAGGATATTTAC